CCCAGACACAGCCCTGCCTGTTGCACAAGCGTGTGCAAGTATGCAAAGGGAGTGGAGGGGGGCTGAGCGATGGCTCCCGGCTGGCTTTGCTGTGGTGTGCCAGGGGGAGCCAGGTTCTGGCCCTGCCACCCGTTGCACTAGGTGAGGACCCATCTGGGGAACCTGGTGATCCGGTTACCCGTGGGTGAGCAGAGTTGAGCCCAGCCCTTAAAGTTAATATTTGACTGTTTCTGCTGGCCTTTGCCCCGACAACGTGCAGGTTCCCGGGCCAGGGCAGGGGGGAGGGGGGGGCAGGGGCAGCGCTGCTGTCCCCCCAGATCCAGTGGCTGGATCCCAGTTGGGATGCCAACGCTTGGAACTGAATCAGACCGCATGGGAGCTACACAGGCTCTGCTCCCCGCTAGGAATGACCCCGGGGTCAAGGGAGTGATCCTGCCCAGCCTGCCTGCTCCACACCCTTGTGCCTGTGCTTCAGGGAGGGGGACAGAGTCAGGGTCTGGCCACAGTGTGGGGATGTCCCCTGCATCCATCGTACCGGAAGGGCCTGATCCAGCCCCTCATGGTGGGGCAGGGGTCCAGCCTGGCACGGGGCTGTGTCCCCTGCAGGGGGGATACCTGTGAGCTGGCATCTGCTACTGGGGCTCTAAAAATACCATGGAGGAGGAGGAAAAGGAGGAGGGCTCCATGCTGGGGCTATGTTTAGCCCTGCAGCCTCTGTGTGCCTCGGGGGTCAGGCTGAAACCCTGGGGGTGTGTGTCCCATGGACCCTTGCACCCCTGTGTGGGGACATTTGGGTGTCCCCTGGCTATCCCCAGCTCCCGGTGGCCCGTGGTTTCCTTACAGAGGGGTTTTCCTGAGCCTTAAGGGAAGCTCTTGCTTCCCAGCCAGGAGACATGACCCTGCATCAGGATGATCTGTCTGGATTTGGGATTTTTCTATGAGTGCATCACAGCAGAGGGTCAGGCATTCCCTGGCGACTGGCTCAGGGCTGCTTTGTGTCCCCTTGGGGTGCCCTTCCTGTCACTGCCTGGTGCCAGCGAGAGGAAAGGGGGGGATACAGGCAGCCTTGGTGTGGCGCTCCCATTTCTCTCTGGCTCCTCAAGGGCCCCTCTGGCCTCTCCCCACTCTAGGAAGGGGCGCTGGATCTGCTCAAGTCCCTCACTGGCTATACCATGACCATCCAGCTGCTCCAGGTGAGGGTGTCTGGGTGGGGGGCAGCAGTTGCTGGCTGGGGGGGACACCCTGTGGGGTGGCTCGTCCTGTCCCCCCTGTGCCAGCCGGCACATCCCTAAGGATGCATCATTGCCTTGTGTCCCCAGACCACACGGATCGGGGTGGCCGTCAACTCAGTGCGGAAACACTGTTCAGATGAAGAGGTGGTGGCCTCAGCCAAAATCCTCATCAAGAACTGGAAGCGGCTCCTGGGTGAGCAATGCCGGGGAGAGGCAGGGACCCCCCCAGGCCCCAACCCTCCCTGGGCCATCCTGGCACCCCAAACCCCTGATGCTCTCCAGGGAGGTCAGGGTGGGATCAGTCCCAAGCTGGGACACGCAGGCTCCCATGCATCGCAGCCGCCATAACCCAGTCCTGCCAGGCATGGACTTGATGGATTTTTCCAAGGGCTTGTTTTTGTTCCAGGATGGAGTGGTGTAAATCAGTATATGCCCCTCCAAGGGCTGAGCATCCCCCCTCCCTGGGATGCAGCTCCCCAGGTGCCCTGCGCTGGTTTGAGCCATGCCTTTGACACCCAAATCCTTCCCTCAGAGTCTTCCACCACCCCGAAGAAGGAGAAGGATGTGGATGGGAAGAAGGAGAAGGACACGGACGGGGAGAAGGAGAAGAAGGAGAAGAGGCTGGATTTTCTCAGCTGCCCCAATGAAGGGGCGAAGCACCCCAAGAGCCCATCAGAGAAGCACAGGGAGAAGCACAAGGAGAGGTGGGGGCTCCTGCCTGCTGTTGGGGGTCACTAGCCATGTGGCCAAGGCAGCGGTGGGGCCGATACAGGACCATCCTCTACTCACTCCTTACGAGCTGTTTGGTTTATCCATCTCTGCCTGTCCACGAACGTCAGCAGCACTGCCGGAGAACCAAAGGGTAGCTGCCTGCAGCCGTGGCAGCATCAGGGCAGCTTTCAGAGAAGGGAGGGAGAAATGGCATTTTTTTTTTTCTCTTCCCTGCGCTAGAGCTATTTATTTTCTGGGCGAGGGCTGTTTGGACGGTGCTCGTCTGACCCTGCCCTGCTCTCTCTGTCCCTAGGAAGCCCAGCAAGACCGGCTCTCGTGCTGCCACCCCCCGGGGCCACCCTGCTGGCTCCATCCCGGAGAGGTACCTGCAAAAGGGCACACCGACCCTCGTGCTGGGCTCTGTCGGGCACTGCCAGTCTGGGGAGGGCTTTGCCAGCAGTCTGGGGGCTGGTGGCGCTCACAGATGACTTGGCCAGGGATGGGGTGTGCAGATGGGCAGGCAGGATCTAGCTCACCATATCACAGCGGGGGATGCTGGGGACAGGCTCACTGAGAGCATCTCTCCCTTCCTTTGGGCTTCTGCAATGAAGAGAGTCCAGCAACAGCCGGAGTCCCACTGCGTCCTCGAAGAAGTCACCTCTGGATGGCAAGAAAGAGAGGTGGGTGCCTGGGCTGAATGGGGATGGGAGATGTCAGACCCCAGCCCCTCGCTGGGCTGCAGACGGGGTCTGGACCCACCTCCTGGTCCCTATTACTGCCCTCTGACATGGGGCTTGTCCTGCCAGGAGAGACTCTGTTGACTCGAGGTCCTCCACCACCTTGGCTGTCGCCTCCTCTTCCTCCCCGCAGAAGAGACCATCAGGGGAGAGGTAAGGAGGGGGTGTCCCTGGGCAACCTGGGGATGCTTTGGGGATCCCCTTTGGGGATGCTCTGACCATGGGACCCACATCCAGGGTGGGTAGAGATGGCTGGGAGCCCTGATCTTGCCATGAGCACTGGGACATTCCCCATGAGATCCCTGTTGGCTTCCAAGCTCTCACATTGATGTGCTGGTGCCTGAGGTCCTGCCACCAGTCTCTGTCCCCTGTCCTGCCTGCCCTGTCTCTGGTGTCATCCCCACTGTCCCCCTGTGCCACCCCCAGGAGAGCCTCTGTGGGCACCAGCCCTGCACCAGCTCCCGCCAGCTCCCGGAGAAACTCCAGTGACAGCAAGGAGGAAAGGTAGGAGAGACCCCATCCCACTGCCACGGGACCCCTGGCAGGTCCCCTCGGGCTGTGCCAGGACCCCTGCACCTGCCTGTCCTCCCCGTGTGCCCCTGCAGAGCCAACAGCAGCAAGGCCAATCCGGAGATGCCGCGGACCCCCACCAGTCCCCCCTTCTTGCCCAGCCCCTGCCTCCTGGCCCCCTGCTATCTCACAGGGGACTCAGTGCGGGACAAATGCATCGAGATGCTCACGGCTGCCCTCCACATGGACGGTGAGTGGGTCTGGGGGGTGCTGGAGCCCAAACTGCACTGTTTCTCCTATGGGACAGCCCTAATTGAAGCAACCCTACAATAACAAGCAAGGCTCTGTGTCCTGGGGCACCTGCAGCCCTGTGACAACAAACTCACCCTGGACTTACAACCAAACTGCAGCTGGAGCTCATAGCTCAGTGTTCAGCCCCCAAATGAAAGAAAAAAAGTTTGGTAGGATCTCTGATAAGGGGTTGGATGTGGGGATGGGGGTCTTTGTAAGGTTCAAGATGGGTAAAAATAGGTTTTTTAGAGATGGGGTGTCTGGGACAAGTTGAAGGGGAGAGGTGAGATTTTTTTCGGGGTTTCTCGGTGCACGGTGAGACCTGGCTGGTTTCACGCCTCAAAGTCACCCCTCAGCCTCTGTGCCCTTCAGATGACTACAAGGAGTTTGGTGTCAGCTGCGAGAAGATGGCATCGGAGATCGAAGACCATATCCTTTTGGGGACCTGGGAGTCTCCAGGCTCCATCTGCTGGGGGACACACACATGGGCTCAAGAGTGATTATGGGGACAGGATGGAGGGTGGTGGGGACAAGGACAGAGGGTGGCAGGGACAAGCACAGAGAGTGACGACGTCTGCTGTCGCCATTGCCTGCAGAGGGAGCCCGGGCCCCGGTTAGAGGCTCATGCTGATGCTGAGCAGAGCATTCCCTGGGCACCTGCCTTAGTCCAGGGGTCTGTGCATCCCCCCAAGCCCCTCTGCTCAGGAACCTGCCTTCGTCCCTGGGGAAATAAAACCCAAACCCAGACCCAGCCAAGGCCTCTTCTTTGAGCCTGCTGTGGGTGCCCGTGTCTCTTGCCAGCCCCGGTCCATTGTGGTGCCCAGGTTGTGCCATGCTGGCAGGGATGGAGCCACCTCCATTCACCCCCAGCTCAAGGCTTGGGTGTCTCCTGGCAGCCCCTTGAGACTGGAACCAGCCCCAAGTGGTTCCCCCTCCTGGGTACACTTCAATTTTTGGTGCATCCTAAACTCTCCGCCTGTGTGTGCCTGAGGCCTCATAGGACCCCGAAGCTGCCACCTCAGCCTGTCTGCCCGCATCCATGTAGGCAGCTGGCGGCTTTTTGGCCAGCCTGGGAGGAGGAGAGCGGGCTGAGTCCTCTGCACCATGAACTCACATCCCAGCACAGGACCGGGTGATGGTCCCTGTGCCCCGACAGCCTTTGGATGTCACAGCAGGGAAATGCAAAGTTGTTTTCCTCCCCACATCCCAAGCTGTGCTTCATCCTACTAAACCCAAGGAGGGGGAGATCCCCCACATGTGGTCCCCCAGGGAGCAAAGCACTGTTGAGATCAGCCACCTCCACATGCACGTGGGCACTGGCCTTGGTGATAATCAGCACCACTGAGCCCAGAGCAGCAGCGGTTGCCCATGGGGCTGGCATCCCCCCCACCTTGCCCCCTTGATTCCTTGACGAACTCCACATATCTTCCAGGAGCTGAAGAGCACGGACATGAAGTATCGCAACCGGGTGCGGAGCAGGATCAGCAACCTGAAGGACCCCAAGAACCCCAGCCTAAGGAGGAACGTGCTGTGCGGGGCCATCCCACCCAGCCTCATTGCCCGCATGACTGCTGAGGTGGGGAGCAGGGAGGGGGGTTGGCTCTTGTGGACAATGTCCATACTGCCTCTGGGGGCTCTGCTCTTGGAGGCTGTGTTGGTGCCCAAGGGCTGGCTGGGTCTTGGCTTGGTGGGGTCCACTGGGCTTGTCCCAGCATCTCCCCATGCTACCCTGGTGCTGGCTGGGGCATGGAGAGCATCAGACACAGGGAGAAAGCAGGGGGCACTGCCTGCTCCCCCCAGAGCCCTGCAGCCCCCCCAGCCCATCACAGAACCGGGTGTGGGATGTCACGCTGGCAGAAGTCAGGCTTGGGGGTGCCCATTCCTCCTCCTCAAGCAGGGTCCCCAAATCAGGCTTTTAGGAGCCCAGCTCCCTCCACGGGGAGCCAGGTCCCTGCAGGCAGCAGTTTTGGTTTGAGGGTGGGGTGATTTTTTTCATCTGGATGGGCCTGAGCCCTCCAGCAAGCAAAGAGAGCAGGATCAATCCTGGTCCTGGAAAGAATGGGGAGGGTGATGGACCACAGCAGCTTGCACCCTGTGCCAGCTTGGCTGCAAGCCCCCAAGCAGAGCCATGGCAGTACTGACCCTGCTGGGCCGATGCCGGTGGCAGGAGATGGCCAGCGATGAGCTGAAGGAGCTTAGGAACGCCATGACCCAGGAGGCCATCCGGGAGCACCAGATGGCCAAGACGGGTGGCACCATCACCGACCTGTTCCAGTGTGGCAAGTGCAAGAAGAAGAACTGCACATACAACCAGGTCAGCCCTGCAAAGCTCCCAGGCTCCCCCTGTCCCCAAGGGGCCCCCATTTGGGGAAATGCCAGAGGGGTCGCCACTGACCCAGCTGCCCGCTCCCTCCCAGGTGCAGACGCGCAGCGCCGATGAGCCCATGACAACATTCGTGCTGTGCAACGAATGCGGGAACCGCTGGAAGGTCTGTGCCTGCTGGGGGCAGCTGCAGGTGCCCCAACCTTTCCCTGGCCCTGGGGAGGTGGCAGAGCCTCCTGAAACAGTGCCGGGGATCTGGGTGAGGGCTCACCACCTGCCCTCGGCTCTGCTTCTCCTGTAGTTCTGCTGATGGCACCCGGCGATGGGACTGGAGGGGACCCAGTGTGAGATGGAATGCTGCGATGGCCACGTTGGGCAGCCAGGGTGGGGAGGGAGGGTGACAGGGCAGTGCCGGTCCCTGCATCCTGGCTCCCTGTTTCCTTGCACTGGGCTCCTTCGAAAATCCCGGGGAGCCGGGCTCCAGCAGCAGGCGGGTTTGCTCGGGAAAATCCCAGTGAATTCGAGGAGTTCCTCCCTTTAAATACCTGACCTTTGCTTGCAGTGCACTGGGAGTCTGAGAACAGACACATCCCTGGAAAGGGAGACTGGTCTGACCTCAGCAGCTTGCCCTTCCCTGGGGGAAAGCTGGACTTGGATGATTTGGGGGCAGGAGGGACGTTGCCCTGTGGATGTGGGGCTGTGCCACTGTCCTGGGGGTCAGGGGTGGGAAGGGGGCCAGGTTTTACCCCCAAACACCTTCACCTAAGTGCACACAGTGGGAGGACATGGAGGGAGACAGGGTGTCCGGATCCCTCCGCTCTGTGACACATGGACTGGGCTCAAGGGAACTCTGAAGAAGAAAGGATGAAGGGGAGAGAAGTGGGAAAAACCTTCCAGCTAGAGCAATAAAGGTGTGAACTGTCTCTGCAACACAGACTCCTTTCTGAAGCGGGGGTTGGGACCTGTGCCTTGGTTTGCACCCCCCGGCTCGAGCCTCATGGTCCACCAAGAGCTTCCAGCCAGCTCCAGCACATCTTGAATCCACCAGCCCCCAGCTTGGGATGTAGTGGTGGCTGGATGCCCATCTGTCACCTACCTGGTGATTAAAGACCTTTCATTAAGGCTGGAGCAGCTCCCCGGCTGGGTCTGGATGCTGAAGGCTGACCCATGGCAGGGTAGCACCTCCACTGACAGCCAGGATGGTTTTCCAGGGAAAGGGCATCAGCAACTGGCCAGGAGCTTCACCTTTGGCTACAGGAGGAGTGGGATGGAGCATTGTGGCACTGAGCTCGTCCCTCGCTGCCACCAGCCTCTCCCAATGGCTCCGTTTGGAGGCAGCGAGATGTGACAGGGACACAGGTAAGGTCACGGTGACCATGGGTGACTGTGAACAGGGGGTGAGGGTCCTGCTCCCATGCCTGCATGAGCCAATGGGCAGGAGCGGAGGAGGACAGTGGAGCTGTTGGATTAACCAATTGTTAATTTTTCAGTCTTGGGCTGAGGTGTGAATTTTTCCCCAGGCAGAGCTCAAAGCAGTTTGCACCCAGATTTGGGTGCTAATCGCCCAGTCTTGGGAGGTCCCAGCATCCCAGGGAAGGGTCAGACACCCCTGAGAGTGCACTTTGAGCTTTGGTGCTCATTAGCATGCCAAAGTCATTAATAAGCCTCTGAGGCAATTATTTACACTTGCAAAGTGTGTGTGGCTGCAATTAAGGAATATAGTGGATTGTGGGGGATGAATGAAACATTGGCGTGACTTTGTGCAGTGGCGAGTGGTGTGTGGGCAGTGCAGAAGGGGCAGCACCGCGCCAGCAGCACACAGGAGCAGGGTTCACATGCTGTCCCTGGGGTGCAACAGGGCGCGTTTGGGTGGGACAAACATGAGACGGGGGATTTGGACTGATATTTTTTGCAGTTCAGTTCAGCAAAGGTGTCTGAGCAATACTGGAGGGAGCCGGCCCTGTGTTTGGGATGGAGTTCCTGGCATGCTTATGTGTCTGTCTGTCCCACAGGGGAAATGTCACCCTGCACACATGCACGCCCCTGCCAGGTCCCCTGAGAAATCCCAGAGGAGGGAAGGGAGCAGGGAAGGCAAACTGGAGAGCTGGGCGCTGCCAGAGGCTCCCCCGCCATCCATGCAAGGGTTCCTCATCCAGGGAGGGTTTTCCCAGCCGCCTGGGGCCAGGGCAGCTCCTGGCCCTAAGGATGGTTCGGTCTCTGGGTGAGGATGCAGGATCTAGCCCCCTGCAGCATGGTGGGTGGGTGTCACAGGGACAGCGAGGGGCTCTCTGGCATCCAGCTCTTTCCAGGGGTTGAAACGGGTTCTGGGTGGCTCTTGAGGACAGTTCCCAGGGCTGAGCCTCTGACCCACACTATGGGGAGGGCACAAACGCATGTATGTGTGTTGCAAAAACCCAGTTCCCAGATTTTCAGTCCCCAAACTGGGATGGCTGACAGCATTCGGAATCTGGCTGAGCCCCCCCTGGGAGATCCCGTCATTCCCTCACCAGCCGTCAGCCCCATAGGTGCCATGTCCATGAGGTTTTCCCCTCTCTCCTCTGCAGGTGACAGTCCCCTCCTCTTCCCCTCTGCATCCCCCAGCCTTGCAAGGAATAAGCGCAGGCAAGAAACCCAGCAGCTGCCTGTCTTGCCAGCACTGAGCCCAGGAGCTCACTCTTGAACTTTGGGGCAAGTGGGCACTTCAATTCTGATTTTTCATCAGTGCTCGAGAGGTGTAGCCATGGATTCAAACAGCAAATGCTAATGCTGGTTCCCTCCCCTGCCTGCACAGCCGTTGCTGGCAAGGAGGCTCAAACAAGAGCCCTCAGGAGCTCTGGGGCCCTGTCACGGCCCTGGGCTGGGCTGAGCTGAGCTCTCAGGTTTGGGTGACCTGGCTCCACCTGGGGCTGTTTGTGACCTTGCAATGATGGAGAGGCCTGTACAGTCCCTGCTAGGTGTTGCTTTGCCCCCCCTAGGGCTCCAGGTTTTGGAAGCTCAAAAGCTTCAGCAGAGACTGGTGCCTCTTCGTGCCTGTCCCTGCCTTGCCCTGCATGAAATGCTAAACCCTTGATGTGATGGAGGTGTTATTTTCGATCTACAACCTGCAACGCTTTAAACAACCTCACAGCATGCCCCTTCCTGGCCAGGTCCCCCATGCCACTGCCATGACGGGAACAGCCACCACCAGTGCCGCCAGACCCCATCCCTTCCCCATGGCCTGCCCTGAGCCACCTCCAGGGGACACATCTGTCCTGTAGGTGCAGAATCCAGCACACAGATACCTGAGCATCCACATTTTGCTTTGCAATCCCAGCTTGCCCAGGGTTCAACCCCCACACACCCCAGACCCCAGCTCACCTGCATCGCGGGCCTTCACCACTTCCCTTCTCCCCCGCATTTTTTCCAGCCTTGACAAAAAAAATCAGCACTTTTCTGTTCAGTGGTTTCCTTGGCAACCCCATTTCCCCATCCTCTTGCTCAATGTCTCGCTAACCACCCTGGCCCAGGTTGCGGGCCCCCAAAGCACAGCGGCAGGTCCCTGTCCACAGGGATGGAGCAGGAGGTGGTGGGTTCTGATGCCTCCCAGGAGGCCTGGTCCTGGGTGGGACCCTCGGCCAGGGCTCGCTGAGCACCTGGGCTTCTTGGAAAGGGGTTGGAGCGGCTGGTGATGAATCCTGTCTGAACCGAACTGAATTAATGCAGTTCTGGAGCTGGCCTTTACACCTCCGTGTGGGTCCCTGTGCTCCTCCCATGCCCTACCCCAGCCCTGGGCAACGGGACCTCCCCTCAGCACCAAGGAGGCGTTGGGCCCCTCTGGACCCTCTCTGGGGTGATGTTGTCGATGCATGGCCCCCCAGGAGGCTGGCAGTGTTTTGGGGGCTACTTCTGGCCCATGGGAGCATCTCTGGATCTGACAATTAAGCCTGTGCATGCCTTGGGCTGTGGCATCATAATCTAGTGCATGTCAGGATGGTTGAGTGCATGTCCCTCGCCAGCAAAGCCCAACACTGCCAGTGTTTCAGTCCAGGATGAGGAATCAAGGGGCAGCGGGGGACAGCGGAATCAAGGGGAAGCGGGGGACAGTGGGGCTCACACTGACCTCTCACCAAGCCCTGGGCTGGGGCATCCAGTGTGGTGCTGAGCACAGGGCACTGGGCTCATCCTGCACCATCAGGGCTTGCAGACGAGCCCTGAGCCCAAGACATGGCAGAGTCCTAAACTCAAGGATGCACACAAAGGGCTGTGTTCGACGGGAGTCTGACACTCATTAGGGCTGCCCCACAATTAGCCATCAGGTCATGATGTCCCCCGAGCTACCCCACCAGCTCACCTGTCTTGCAGTGGCTGGAAACCCAAGTGATATTTATCCATAGCTTCATCAGCTGTTTTGTTTTCCCTCTCCTTAAAGGTCAGGAGGCCCTGCTTGATGTTCCTGCTGCAGAGCCATGGGGATTGCCCTCTCTGGTCCCCAGTAACGGGGCACAGCAGTTTGTCCAAGTGACATCCTTACCCTTTAACTAGCATCATGCGAGCCATCCATGCACCCAGCTTTTAGCCCTGAGGTAGAATTCTGCTTCGTCCTCCTTCACTTGAGGGCTGCTCGAATTTGCAGTGGGGGAAGAAAAATGTGCATTAAATAGATTAAACCGACCCTCCACTTGCTCCAGGCTCGGATGGACAAGCTGAAGAGGTGCCCAAAGGAAGGGTTTGCCTTCAAAAACCAGAGCAATGTGCCAAAGCCTACTGCAAGGGCAGAGGGAAAACCTGAGACAGCATCAGCAGCCTCTGTGATAAAAGCCAGGGGATGCACAAGGTGAAGAACAGACCCCCAACCCCCCTATCCCAGCTGCCTGAGCCCCCGTTTGCAGGGATGGCCCTTCCCCTCCCAAGGGAATATCTCCCCTCCTGTAGCCAGAAGGACTCATAGGTGCTATTTCCACACCACCAGCATGCTAATGTCCCAGCTCTTTGGCAGGGCTGGGCAGATTCCCCCTGTCAATCCCCATGCGGAGGTGCTTACTTTGCAAGCTGAGCAATCAATAGATGATTATCCACCAGGCACAGGTGCTTGCTGCCTCCCCAGACCTCAAAAACCACATGCAATATTTATCTGCCCGACAGGCATGGGCTTTCGGCATGACCCACTTTGCTGCTGTCAGTAGACGGGATTTGGGTCTCCTGGGAAAACCATCACAGCTCCACCAGTGCAGAGCCACATCACTTCCGCCTTTGCATCAGGGCTGCTCTGATGGTTGACGTCCCCGAGGGGATGGTCGGTGTGGCAGGAACCATGCCTGGTGTGGGGGACAGGGGAAGGTGCCAGTCCTGCTTAGGAATTGAGCTGATTTGCTTTAAAAAGCAGGAAAATGCAGCATTGGGGTTGTTTTGGGGATGGCAGGAATGATGCTGAGAGTGCTGAGGAGTGTGGGGGGAGCCCAGAAAATTCCCTGTGCCCTAGTGAGCTGGGAAAGGCACCTGCCGAGCCTCCCAATACAGGGATGCATCAGACCATTGCTGACCACTGGGACACCAACAGCTATTCCCCAAATCCCAAAGGGGCTGTTTGATACCCCCAAAGCTGAGCAGACCTGGCTCCAGCCTGAGACTTGATGCTAGATGAAAGCAAAAGCTATAGAGGCCCTCAATTTTTTAGGGGGAACCATGTCTGCTGCATCTTTTTCGAGCCATGGCTCAGTCAGAGCCTTTCAGGCACTCAGCTGCTCTGCTGATGGGCTTTTTTTTTTGGCTTTTTGTATTAATTAAACCTCAAAGCTCTGGTTTTCCTGAGCACAAGGGGTATGAGAGGATGGGGTGTGTGGGGATTTGAGGCTGGATCCCATGGGTACCAGCTGTCAAAGGATGGGGAGGTATAGTGGGTCCCTCAACACCTGGAGGAACTGGGCAGCGGTATACAGGGCAGGGGACACCCCAGGCACTGAAAAACACACAAACATCACTAAAATAGGGGGAAAAAAATTGCTGAGCCTCCCAGTGACTGCTCTAGCTCCGGGCTGGGATGCAAACTGAGGAATTTCCTTTCTCCTTCATTGTTCTGCGGTGATGTGAGTGAATCAGCTGCTTCGGAGCACCTCCGAAAACAACGCCGTGATTGCTCAAGCCAGCCCCAGTGCCTGAGTTGCTCTTCCCCAGCCAAGCCAAAATATTCAGAGTAAAGCCATGGATTTGGCCTGACTGTGTATTTGGTTTTTTTTCCCTGCAAAACAAGGGGAAAAAAATCAGTTTGTCACATGCAACATTTGCAATCCATCGGAGGGAAATGGTTCATTGATTTGTAGGGGTGCAATTCTGCAGTGCCCTAGATCATCCCCCAACCTCCCCCCAGGCTTTTTGATTATTAAATACATCAAATGAGCCCAAACTGGACCCAAACCTTTGCTTCTAAAATGAAACATGTTGCACGGAAAATTACAGAATATACTTTTCCTAAAGAAAAACCCGTGCCCTTTTGTTTCCTGACCAAAGAGGTTTGCTGAGTCTGCAGAGCACTTTGATCTCAGCCTTCCTAAAAATCACAGCACTTGGCAGAGACTTCTTTTCCCTGCTTCAGCTGAACAGGCAGAGGAGGAAGAACTGAGCAAAGATCCCCCATTAAAAGAAAAAAAAAAAAACAAAAAACAAAAAACAAAACAAAACACAAAAATCAGTCTTTCTCAGCTTTTGGCTGTAGCCACACATGTTCTTCCCTCTTGGGGCCAGGATGGAGGAGATGCCAGGGAGAACACCCCAAGAAATGCTATAAAACCACCCTCTGCTCCCCCAGACCACACAAATTCCCATCCTTGTGCTTCCCACATCACTAAGTCGACCTAAATATTGGGGGGGGGGCGGGAAATACCACATTGGCTTTTTTGTCTGACACTTATTTTCTCCCTGCCAGGAGCTCTCGGGCACTTGGCAATTAGGAGCAGCAGATTAATCTTGAGTGATATAATGAAATGCCACGTGGCTTGAGGAAAGGGCTGGCGAGCAGGGGCGGTTTGCTTTCTGAATTAGCATGGCTTAGGCCATATTTCGGTGCAGGCTAGGGTGGGGGGGTGGTGGGAAAGAGGAGAGGGCTGGGGGGCTCAGCTGGATGTTCGAGGCTCATCCCCATCCCCTGGTCCTCTGCATCCCACTGCATGGACCAGACAGGGTTTGCACTGCAGAAGAGAAAGATTTTGTGCACATTTTCTAACCTGCATTTCCTTGTCTGCAATGTCCCCAAAGTATCTTTCCACCTGCTTTGCACCATCCCAGCATGTCCGGGCCACAGGCAGCCCCTGGCCGATGGTTTCCTTCAGCAAAAAGTGCCCCACGATGGCAGGCTGGGGTTGTGCCCAAGCTCTGTTTCACCCCAGCCATGTTTGTGCCTCCTTTCTCTAAGGTCCCTGTGAGCCCGAAAGCCGAGAGCAGCTGGCACCGAAGGCCACATTCTTCCAGTGAGCTGCCTTGTCTTTCCAAAGTGAAAATATAAATAGCTCATCCTGTAATGAAGTGATAACCCAGGAGCCGTGCCACCACCACCAGCCGCTCTTAGCAAGCCCATTACCCACAGCAGCCAATTTACTCCCAAGTCTGGCAGGGTCAGCAAACGTCAGGGAAGCAAATGCTAATTAATTGCACTCTGCAAAGCAGCCTGGCCGAGCACGGCATGCAATTAGTGAGTTAACTGCAACTGCTGCTGCACTGGGATTGTGGCTAAAGGGATGACCGAGCTGCTGTCAGCCCTGCTGGGGAGGGACCTCTTCAGCTCTACAGAAATAACTCAGGGTGAGGGCAATAACTTTGTGTTGGGGACATGTGTGTCACACTGCAAATGTGGGCATCAGCAAGGCCATGGCACTCTGCATGTGTGTAGGTGCACCCCTTCGATCCCTGCATCACCCGCCCCGGTCCAGCACCAATCTCCATCACGAGCTGAGCTGTCCCCTCCATCAAGGGGACATGCTCCCTCTGCCCAGCTGTTTTGCGGGTGAATGTGGTATTTCCTTGGGGAAGGAGAGCTGCTCTGAATATAAAAACTCCTGGTGATGGGAGATGCAGAGCCCCAGGAGGAATCATG